GACTTCCGCCATGGAGCAACCTATTCCGCGCGTTGCCCAGTATCCCGCTTCGCCAAATTATTTAAATGGGCTGAAAAAATTTGTATAACTACTTAAAAGTATCATAAATATAATCCAAAAATATTGAATAATTTATTTTGTTTACTTTCTCCACAAAAAATTCACAAAAATCACCTATTTTTTGGACCTACTGATGCGAATGGACCCTTAAACCTCGCACTCCGATGGCTTATGTTTCAGAGAGCATCCGTCGACTATAAAGAAACGATTTGTTAGCATACTCGTCATAACTCTCATCTCGCCAGTGCCAGTGTACTTTGGACTAGACGAGAAAGTATTTCAAAAGGTATTTCTCGCTTGCGCACGATTCAGACACGCTCTATCCTGTATAAGACAATCAATTTTTTATTATACCTAACAGGCAACCATCTGGGAGATCCTAGGCCTTCGATGGTCGGGTCTGATACAGGCGACTGTAATATCGTTGCTCTTAACGATGATCCTATTCCTAGGTCCTTTGAGTTTGCAGGGATTCAACGGGCTGTTGCACTTGTACACCGGTTAGTATCCGAAATCAAGCTGAGAGCAGCCTAACAGCCCTCAACAAGTTACTGGATGTGCATTCTGTTTTAGAGCCCATGTATTGGCTGCAAAGCGTACGAACTGTAATTTGGTGGAGAAATCAGGTAGTCGCTCCGTTGTCCGAGGAGTGGACTTTCAGGGCTTGCATGATGCCGTTGCTCCTGCAATGCTTCAGCCCGACTACTGCCATATTCGTGTGCCCCTTGTTCTTCGGAGTGGCGCATTTTCATCACGTGGTGGAGAGGGTAAAAATGGGAATGAGCGTCAAGCACGCAATATTTATGTCCTGTAAGTGTTTCGAGGATGTGGGATATATCTGGGAATCTACCGATGTCCGTCCAACTAAAATAAATTGCGTTGAATTTAGGTTTCCAGTTTACGTACACGACGATATTTGGAGCGTACGCGGCCTTTCTCTTTGCGAGGACAGGTGGGATCATTTTACTTCCTTTTCTTGCTCTGAAAACATTAAAGAGGTTTTAAGAAGTGATTTGCATTTATGTACTTTTCTCTTAGGACATGTTGTTGCACCGTTTGCTGCGCATTCATTCTGCAATCACATGGGATTTCCTGATCTTTTTGAGATAGCGGCGTACAAGGATCCACTGAAAAGGGCCGCGATAATGTGTCTGCTTGTAATCGGCTTGGTCGCCTGGTGCTTCTTGTTGATGCCGATGACTCATCCATCATTGTTCAATAATAATTTATTCTGGACTAAGCTCTTTGTATGAGACACGTCTAATCTCTAACAAATATTAGGACGTAACAAATACTAAGGTTTAATGTTAAATGTTTTTACGCAGAATTTACCGCAATTGTTCCACCGGTTTACATCGTTGTGGAATGTTTGTATTTATGTCTAACAGAGTACAATACTTATCTGTCGAAGCGGGAATTAACATTACTTCAGGCTAATTTCAACTATGTATAATTTAACAGATCGCGCAGTTCGACATTGTTACAAAGTACATCACTATTGTGCCTGAAAGTTTAAATTTTTGAAATGGTGATTACAAAAATGTCAACTATATGAACTTGGTTGCGAGACCAAAATGCAAAGAATCTAGCTAATTATTATTTACGAATTGCCGCATATATTTATATGCCGCAATGTTACATTACTTTACAATCCGTTAAACGTTATCGATATTTTCAGACAGATTTTTATAAACAAAAATTTTTGTAATATAGTTTATTATAGTTAATGCAATCTATTGAGAAAATTTCTGAAACGATCTTTCTAATCGTTTACTTTTATAACAGTCAATATATATATAGTGTATATATGGTATCCATATGTACAATGGCAGTGATAAATATTCAAACGATAAGCGATACCGCCATACACATAGTTTATTTAAATCACAGAAGTAACGCGGTTACGCAACAATATTACTATACGTTTTATATATGTATGTACAAGTACATCGATGAACGCATATACATTGTATGTGCAGTAAATCTATAAGTATTTATGTATATAATGAGAGTCTAATACGAAGAAACGAGTTTTCGATTATGTGTAATCTTTTAATTGCATACATAATGTATACCTTTAATCGACGAAATAAGTGGTAAAATCGACTTCTTAAATGTTCAGAGCATGAAATGTTGATAATGATACAACGTTGAAATAGTGTTTTACCGTCGAAACGCAAAATCGTTGTACAGAAATTTATGTATAACGATAGTCACACTGATTTACAATAAATGTTTCTCAAAATTTAAAAGTATTTGGCGATCTTGTTTTAATGCGTTGCGAGATATTAAAGCGACGTTGCAAATAACATTATTTCGTGTATGATCATCTCTCGTATCTGATTCAGTTTATAACATCGATACAAAATATATAACTAACAGAACATTCAACTTACATTATCTATCAGTTCATGATTTTGTCGAATGTCTATTCTTTCCCTTACCTTATTTAACGAGACAAAATATAAAAGTTTACATAGAACAATACGAATATTGTAAAATTGATCTGTCTTAAGAGGATTTAATAGCCATATTGGAACAATAAATAGTAAACAAGATAAAACGTATAATTAAACTCCTAGATATTTATCAAATTTCTTAAAGAGTAAATTTCGAGACAAATTTTGTTACGTCAATATTAATAACAATAAATAAATAAATACTCTTGAGTATGTTCAAAAGTGGTAAACTTTCCTAAAAATATTTAATAAACACCCACATGTACGCACAAGAGCAAATTCCCTATTAAAATAATGATTTCAACATTAATGGCTACAGAGTTTATAAATGCAGTCATGTCCTTTGCTATATATATTATTTTTAGAGATTGCACTGTTTAAGTAGATTAATAGTAAACTCCGGTCTCATTGAAAATGCAAAAGTGGCGATTTAGGAACGTTACTACCTCTATCGACTTTTGGCGACTTATAGCGTCATTAATAAATAAATAACTAAATAAATGCAGATTCTGATTGCGTGCACTTTGTCACGACATTACCTCAATTAGGCGCATCCTTACACTTGACTTGGTCCAGGTGTTGCGTCTGGATTTTGCGATTGATTGAGAAATAATACGTTACTTGACTTAATCCTAGGTCCAGCCGCGAGCAACGAAGGAGATGGACTGATGCAAGGCGTTGAGCAATGGCTGTTGCTCAGTTCACATTGATCCAACAATTTCCAAAGTTCCTCTGGCGTAGGTCCACCGGAGGTATCTGTTGCTAAAAGACATGGAAATTGTAAAAATCTGGCAATAAATTTTAATTGAACGAGATCAAATGCATCAATCACAAAAAATCTTTTTAAAAATTAATATAGAATTAACATTTATCATTAAAGAGATAATTGCAATGATTTACATATATAGGCCATTTCTTATCCATCGTCTTATCTGACAATCTGAAGAGAAATTAATTTTATTATAAGAAAAGTTATATATATATATAATATATATATAATATATAATATATATATATATATATTATATAGAATAAATATAGTTTGCTTTCTAAAGGCCTTCTCAAATATATGATTTATGTTAATTTTCTGCTGTACTTCCTACGGTATTTTACATATGTGAGTCATGCTCGTCGATTCCGTTACGTCACTACAACGGGAGAGAGTAACGTACCTTGAGTGGCATTGAAAGACGGATCCAATGCCGTTGTGAGATCCCACATTTGAATGGTGCCGTTAGAATGACCAGTGAATATGAAACGTCTGGGCCTTGAGCCCATGCGACTAGAACCTTCACACTCGTGCACATAGAATGAGCTTATAATGCTGCCGTCCACTGACTGTATTACGCAAACTCTTTTTCCATTTGACGCTAATCGCACAAACAACTGATCGGTTTCCGGTACGACTTTCTGTACGAACACTTGCTCGTCATCTTGTTCGCCGAATGGTCCTACGTATATTTTATTCAAGTTAATTAAATAAACAAAGAAACTTTTGCAGCTTGAAAAATAGTTAACAAAAATAAAAACATGGAAATAAAAACTGTTGTTTAAAAATAATTGCAAATTGGAGAAAGAATGGTGATAGTTAAGAACTGCGATATTACAACGTACCAAAATCGTTGCCGGCATTATAGCTGACGCATGGATCAATTGCTTCCAAAGAAACAATTTTGAAGCTTGCCTCTGGCGTTGATCCTGGTTGAGTGGAAATCATTCCGCGAAATCTGGTCACCGCCCAACTTCTGACGTGATTGTATTCCGAGCAAACCGACACTAAGTATTTTTCCGAGAGTGTTACCTGTAGCATAATTCGCACATAAATCAACGCGACATTGTAATTTAATATACAATTTTAATATAAAACTCTGTTGGGTATATATTGATGCTGAACGTACTTTGGTTACGCTGCTCTGATGCACTGTGAACGTTTGGAATAGCTGCGGACCATGACCAACAGTTTCGGGATGTTGGACGATTACTCTGACACTTCCAGATTTCGTGCCATAGGCGATTTCTATCCAATTTCCGCAGAGACCTATATTGGGAGTAATGTACTCTTAGAAGAATATGTTTTATATTGCATTAACCACCTGATACACTTTGAGAATTAGAACAAATATCACATATCATTATCTGTGTCATCATACACATAACATTTAACAATATTATACATCAATTGAAATCTTTATTTCAAATTAAATCTGTATTTATCAAATTCAATACTGTACTGTGCATAATTTATAAGATAAAATTTCAAGTGTATCAAGGATTAATTACTGATATAATAACTACATTAATGAAAGATTTTAAAAATATAGACGTAACATGAGACGTAATATTTAAACAACATATGTGCTCAGGTGAGTATTATTAATAAAAAGTGATATGTATATGATGTCTTGAAGCTTACAATGCCTCATGCTGCACATTGCAACAATAAGCAGAAGCTATTTATGAAAAAAATATAATGTAATTATAATGGCATTTTATAATTAAGCAATAACGTTTACGTGTGCAGAAATTAATAATTAATGTTATTTAAAACCAATTTTTTCATAGGTTTAATTTAAAAAAAGTTAAAATTACCTATAAATTTGTTACTACCAACGAAAAAAAGTACACAAGCAAAGATCCATATTTTCTATTACCTCCCTTTCCCCTCTCAGATGCTGGCATGGAACATATTACTATGAATAGAAAGAGCAAGCAAGCAGCTCTAACAGACAAATCTGGATTAACTGAATCTACTGCGTAAAATAATGTAAAAAAATAAAAAGAGAGAACATCGCGTTAGTACAACTGGAACGCATAAGGATAGCAGGGTTGTGCTAGTCTCTAATATCATTTCATAAGTGTTTCATACGAATTCGTACTTGGCATATAGAAAGAGACGTGTACCAGTTTGCGTTCAGATTCTACTAAAACAAATGTGCTTTGCGACAGGTACGCTTCTATGTGTATAAGTATTTATTTTTATATTCTATTATATATAATTATGCAAAAAAAATATATATAATTATGCGCCAGTGCGTCGATGTAAAACTTAATGCTATCTGGAGAGGAAGAGGATGTACGTTCGTTGCTATTTAGTCGCACGATTCACGTTCGATGCAATCAACATAAAGATGAAGGCGAATGACGCTTCGTTTTGACGTACAAGTTTGACGTGAGAAAGCAGAAAATCTGCTTACATCGACCCATACTTGCCTTGTGCTATTTATCCAGTTGTACGAGAAATGATGAAGCAAAGAATGTAATAATAAACTCTCATTAATATCTTTAAGGACCAACATCAAACCTTATAACATTCCTATAATATCTTAATGAATAAAATAGACGCCGGTTAGTAAGAATAATTATATTTACACCTATGTGATTATTAATGATTGATATATTTAATGACGCTAATTTTATTTTAGCATGAGTGAAATAATGATCGCGAAATCAAGATGTTGCGATGGTGACGTTTGTTATTACATTCTGCATTAAGCAGCCTCAATAAACAATCTTGATAAAACACGTCACTCGTTGAAATTCGCTTCTTAACGAATAGTACTAGTTGCCTCTAAAGGAAAAAGTTTTACCTCGGATTTCTATGTCTTATTATTTGTCGAGATCCTTATATTAAGATGAGAATGGGCATAAAGAGAGACTTACTAGTTTTCGGCGTCAAATACACAGATATTGCAGTTATGGGATCGTAACTCGGATCTCGATATAATTCGGTCACGAGCAAGTCGTTATCCTTCATTCGCAAAGGAAACTTTTGCATGTCTGAAATTCATACGGTAACCGAAATTATTAACAGAAATCTAAATTAAAAAAAAATGGTTTGTGTTTTATAAAGAACTCTGGATATATTAAATATTCTTTTAGCGACTCAAATACTTTTAAATATTTTAGGCATAGAATATGATTTTTACATTTTTTACTGATTGTGCGAATTTTACTTAGAAACGTAATATCTTTTTCTTGCTTACCAATATAATAAATGGAACCGTTATTGCAACCTAATAGAAGAAAAGATCCAGCGGTGTCAAATGACAGGATGGGCACTACGTCCTGTATCTGCCAGTGATGAGTCATCGCGTGCCACACACCGATTTTTCCGGTCGGCGACAACGCGACTAACTGGCTGCCAATGAAGAACAAGTATTCCACACGCACGTTTAAATTGAACGTGCCCACGTTGATCTTGATCCCTTCCTCGGACACACCCCAAAGTCTTACTTGACTTCCATAGGAGATCGCAACCATCTTGCCGTCCGCGCCACTTCCCATTTTTGCGTTTATCGCCACGCGTTCTATTATGCACTCGATATGCGGACTGGTGAACACGTGTTGCCATCCAGACGAGTCCTTCAGCCGGTAGCACGTGATGAAATGTGCGTAAGCGATCACTATCCAGTTGTGGTGCGCCTTTATGATCTGCACTCTCAGAGGGTCCACCCATGACGAAACTGCAATCAATGTAGCTTCATTAATGTTCAAAATGGAAAACGAAAAGGAAGAGATGGGCATCATTTTCTTTTAAACATTATTACTATATTTATCTTTTTATGAAAGAGTAATCTTTATGTTACGTATCGTACTTTAGAGAAGTAGAGATTCATTGATGCTTACCTTGCTGTGATCCAAATATTAGACCGATATCGTTTTTATACAATTTATTCAGATCAGCCGAGTTGTTCCTAGCATGTCTCAGATCTAAAGATGGTGTGCGAGAATGCGGGAGACCGCGTTGTGGCAATCGATAATCTAAAGAGGAGTTTCTCATATGCGTCCCCAGTGCTCCTTTATGATTTTGTGGACCTGTCGACAAAAAAATTCCTTGTCAGTTTTCTCTTTACCGTTGCGTTATTCGACTGTTGCACACAAACTAACTATTGCAGATGCATATATTTCTATTAATAATAAAGTCATTGATAAAAATTGATAAGTACCATTAGTACTTTGATTAGTGGAGTTAGTGGTCGTTGCAGATTGCGAGGTAGATGGTCCTTCGACTCTAGAGCTTGAGCTGGAACTAACCCTAATATGAACTGATACGTCACTGACATTTGCTGTTACTGCAACCGGTTCTTGAAGCGGTATGCCTTTAAAGTAAACAGAGCCGTTACAATTTATCACAATATATGATAAATAATACGGTTAACTTACTCGGAGGTGGTAAGTAACCGTAAAACAGTACGTCGCCGCAGGATGACTGAGTCAAGTCTTCGCAGAGCATCAACCGTTTAACTAGAGGAGTGATGCCATAGTACTCGGCCTCGTGCCTTAAAGTCCGAATATCTACATTTTTCAGATCAATGTCCTTGGTACGAAGATAATTCAATATGATGGAGAACAGCTTCGGATCTCTATCTATAAAAAGCGCACCAGTCTCATCCTTGTGACTGTCGATTCTGTTACTTAACAATGCTGTGAAAAAAGAATCCGGGATCCATGTCAGAGTTTGACGAGATGTGGAGAATCTGAAAAGAGAAAGAATTTGTGTGTGTGTTTCTATCAAAATAAACAAATCTAGTAGATCGATAGAATTTGACATAAGATCCAGTTGGAGAATCCAACATAAAATTAAAAAATTAATAAAAGCATCAAGACAAAAATATGACATCTAAAAATAAAAAAAAAAGATATAAATCGACACTCTAATTTGCAGGTTTAAGAATTAACGACATTGAGTAAAAATTGATGATGGAAAAACGATTGGAGAATGATAACCTACCTGGTGCCGCCAACATTCAGGTGAACGATATCGCTCACGTCTAAATGAGGCGCAGCCATTCTCGGGGCTATCGTGTATTTTTACAATGACAACTCATATCCCGCGAGATCGTCGAGATGTCACGATTTACAATCGTTACGAGCCAAAAACAACCTTTAACAGGTTATGCGTACGTCAACGTCAACGCGACCCCGCTACGCACGCGCGACTGACCAGCGGGACCAGCGACCAGCCGCCAGCGAGAGCAGCAGCGAGTCCAGCGACTCTCTCGGAGCGTGATGCTATCGATCGTCAACGAGATCGAGAGATCATTATTTGAATTCAAATAAAAAAGATGTCCTTTATATATAAGTTGAAGAATTTTAAGAAAAACTAGAAAAAAGCAAGAGACACGGCAGTGTCTCGCGCCAAGTACACGCGAACCGAGACCGCACATTTATTTTTAACGCAAAGTGCAAAGTGCGGAACGTACCAATGACGCAGATAACCCTCTAGCGCAAAATTTCCCTGTAATAAAATCGAAAATCACTTGGGAAAATGGAACTTTTACTCTCACCTATTACCTTCTTACTTCCTACACGCTTATCATGATTACATAGAATATTCGTAACTACCTCTACTACCCCTCCTAAAGTCATTGGCGTAGAATCTGAAATAATCCTCGACCACCTTAAAGTTAAAATCGTTAGAAGAACGTTAGTCAATTATGGTCTCATATAAAAATATATGAAAGTGATGCAGAAATATAACATTCGATTTTTCACAATCAATAACAAATTCTTGCACGAAAATGCGCACGATTTCATGCCGAGAGATGACAATGCATTTTTCCTCCCCCGTCGAAAGGGAAACAAAAGTCGACATCTATGCGCGCGAGAAGTTTGCACCGCCTGTTAGCGAAAGTTTCGAACTTCGGGCGTTATGCCACCTACGAGAACGATATCCGGTCGTTATCTCGTCGTTCGTGCGATCGAATCGCAGGAATAGAGGGGAATAAGAAAAGATTGGCACTTTCGAGATTGGCACATTAGACCTCTCGCGCGGCGGTGAGGGGACGCGAACGGTGACGCGCGGACTTCCGGTTTTTCCGCAGTCGCGAAAAGTCACGAGTCGCGATCGCATCGTCGAATCACACACGGGCCAAAGAAGAGAAGATATGTCAAGAAGAAGAGAAGAACGTCAAGTGTATACTGATGAAGAATACGACGATTTAATCAAGCCTATCATGATAGCTACCAAATTCGTCTGTTTTTGGCCTTTGAACAGGGACCATTCAACCAGTGCGGAGCGGTTCAGGACTTGTCACTTGCTCTTGACGTTTTTCGTAGTATGCAAAATTAATATCTTGTTTAATTAAACGCAAACAAAATTTTAAAATAAAAAAAGAAGATCTACTTCTATTGATTAATATTAAAAATCTTCATAACAAAAAATTTCTCTTGTAAACTTTTCTTCATAAATAGATTATGATAGCATTAAATTTCCTCAGATAATTAAGATAAACACTTTGGATATCATCTAAATAATTTAACATTTAACGTATTATTTGCAACATACAGATCATCACAACGTATGTCGGCCAAACGAGTGATATGGTTTACAATTTTAACGATTTGGACGAATTGACAGTATCCGGTCTAATGTGCATCGCGTTTTTTCTCGCCATAATACGTCTCATTGTCTACTCGTCTCATCAAAAAGATATGCTGTACGTGGTCGAAACTATGAGAAAGGATTGGACTTGTTCGTCTTACGAAGATAAAGTTATTCTGAGGGAGAAGTGCCTTTTTGCGTTTCGGCTCGCAAAAACCTTTGTAATTATGGTAACTGCAACCGTAACTTCTATGGCATGCATATCAATTTTAGAGGTACGTACAAGAAGTAACATATTTAATATTTCTACAATTTATAACATGTACAGATTGTCTCAAGGTACAAAATTAGGTATAAAAGAAAATAAAAATCCAATATTTTTAGATTTAAAAGTAATTTTCTGCAAAACAAATTTACAATTAAAGAAATTTCTATTCATATATTTTTTTACTTTCAGTGCTTAACATTTTAACAATACTTTCAAAGTTTTCATTTTATTTGTAGCGTTACAAATTTTCAATTTTGTGACAATAAAAGAGATTTATTTCGAAGTAATATGAGGTGGCATTAGAATATCCTTTAGTGATAAAGCTTAAGATTTCTCCGAGCTCCAACTTATTGCTTCAGAACTTCGTACTTCTCTATATAACTTTTTAATTGACTCCGTTATTAAATCGTATACCTGTAGAGAAATTAATCGCGGAAGTTTCTTTAAATCTTAACTGCCTATTTTCTTAACAAAACGATGTTTAACGATAAATTTAACTGCAAGACGATTATAAAACAAACGTTCTCAAACGAGAGAAACTGCTTCCGCAGATGTCTATTCCGCGTTTCGCGAAATGACGACGACAGATTGACATATGCGACACACGGCGACAAACTGCGCGATGATTAACGCTGACATTTGTAGTTTTTCGAAATCCTGCTTTTTCTTTTTCTTTTTTTTTTTTGTAAGATATTGTTTTCCCGAAATTGTTTATTACCGCTTTGTAAATGCGGGCGGTTGTGTCCTTACACGGGAAATTGTTTTCCGATGGTCGTTTCGCTTTACGAGCCTTTCGAAAACACCTGCACGCGCACGCGTACGTAACACGTAGATGTTAATCCCTTCGCCGTATTTATTTCCCCGATATATAGGCAATTAAATTGTTAGTAAATTATTAACAATTTAATTATAGAAAATTAATTTGAGCTGGAAAGGAATACGAGACAATAATAATCAATACTGAATGATATAATCTAAAAGGCAAGGTGATCATAAATTCCGTAATTATGATTTATCTCGGTTTTCTATTGCAGAATTATCATTTTTACAATAAGAAATTAAACAACAAAAAGATAATTAATTAACCATAGTAAGATAATCGATTACCTAGTTTGTCCTAATTCAAGAAATTTTCATTTGTTTAACTTATAGGTATATATTCTTGAAAAGGAGAGAGTACTTCCTTACCGTGGTTATTTCTTCTTCAATCAGACGATCTCACCTGCCTTTGAGTACATCTATATCTTCAATTTAATCGGCGGTTGTTTCGGGGGTGGCACGATAATCGGCGCAACCTCTTTCAATCTCATTGCGATAACACATGGATCAGCGAAATTTGCGGTGCTGCGAAAGAAGCTGGAGGCAATGGACAGTAATGATCCCGATGCTGACAGAGCAATGGTCAACTGCATTAAGGATCATCAAGATGCTATCACGTGAATATTTATATTATATTAAGTATAATAGGACGAATTGTTGTTTAAATTCGGAAAGAAATAACTTCCGAAATAATTCTCTAACAGAATTTAAAGAACACTTGAAGAATATTAACAAATGTCCACTACACTTATGATAAAGCGCTATCTTTGCATAAATATATTAGCGTGAAATTTATTTGTAATGTTTATACGCAATTTCCTAAAACTGTTATCAATGCTCTCCGCTTTATTTTAGTTTTGCGGATACGCTCGAAAGAATTATAAATCTCTTGACGTTAGGACAATTTGTCGTCAGCACCGGCTTGGTTTGCTTCGCGGGATTTCAGATCACTTCGGTATGTTCGTTTGCTGAAGATGCGTTACAACGAAAAATATATATCACGTTGCAAAATGTTACTCTAGATGTTGGAAAACAAGGGACGCTTGGTGATATATACGATGTTTCTACAAACCGCCATCCTCGAGCTTTTCATGTTCAGTTTCAGCGGAAACGCGTTAATAGATGAGGCGAGTATTCTATAATTACAAATTAATTGATCAAAATTGTGAAACTCGATAAACAAATAATTATTTGAATTAACTTTCTACCTATAATTAATTGGTTAATTTCGATTGTAAGTTGAGTTATTACAAAGTCCATTATTTTTTGCAGAAACTAAATGTTATCGTAAAATTTAAATCAAATTAACATCGCGGCGCAAAATTGTTACTTTTTTCCATAAAATTTATATGCCTTATTAAGTCCCTGTTATAGTTATGTCATTATATAAATATATATACATCAGTTTTTGTTCGATGTAAATTATTAGATATCGCGTATCAGATTGCATGCGTGTCGCAATTGCACGAATTTTAACGAGCGATGGAAGACTCAATGCACGGTAATCGTATCGATCGATTACCAACGCATGTATCTTCATTAGTACATAGTTCGTTGAGCTCACAATCGCCTGTAATTAATTTACGGCCAACGCTTGTAACGAACCAGAGCGGTGCTGTGGGCCAGTCGGCTTACTGTAGCTACTGGATCGGCGGCACTTTCAGTCGCAGTCTACAGATCGTGATGATGCGGTCGAAAGTTCCTTCCAGGATCACCGCCGCAAAGTTCTACAGCATGTCTCTCGAAAGTTTCTCTCAAGTGAGTGGATTATTGGTGTCAAACAATATCTAAATTTAATTTTAAGATAATATACCTCAAGACTTAATTACATGATTGTCTTGTGTATGTGCGATGCTAAAACGTTCGCTGATGTTGACGAACAGTTTTGACTACTAAGGTTTAAAAAAAAATTAAATATTTACTAATAAATTAATTAACGTTACTTTCAATTAACTCTTAATTTATAGTCATATTTAAGCAGCGTTACGATATATATTACAATAAATATTTTGCTTGCAGGTGCTCAGCACGTCTTTCTCCTATATAATGGTTCTGATGACAATGAGCGAGGAGTAAGGATCAGCAGTATTGGCAATCGTAGCGTCGGTTCTATCTCACAGAGAATATTATAGTCGATCCGTTAACCCGAAAATATCATGCGCGGATCAAAGTGGAACCTCGCTTGAAAGTCACGGCGCACTTCTAAGATATAGCATAAAAGACGGATAAAGCGCTTCAAAGGAATCAAGATGAAGGCCATGCGCGGTAAAATGTAATACACGTATGAGGGGAACGGGCTGCGATGACCCGAGAGAGCCTTCTTAGCCGGCTATACTTGTTCTCTGTTAAATTTGAGAGACGTTCCTCCCTCGCGGGTGAACGCAGGCACAGTAAATTGCCCTCTGATTAATTTCCCGCCGATAAACCCGCGTTAAGCCGCGGTCGTCACCGTCGCGCAACACGATAACCCAGTAACTCCGTTAAACACCGAGACATGCCGGTGACTATGCCCTCGTTGTAGGGGGGTAGCGTAATCAACGATACCGCAACAGCAACGATTTGTCCTTGCTCGTTCTACCGAGTTCTGTCTATTATAAATACAGGACGATCCGTAAGTCGCGGGTTATTCCACGATAAAAGATTTAAGTAATAAAATTAAAAGTGCGCATTCTGTCGAGATGACGATGAGTATCTTTTATGCAAAGCTTCATTTTGGATCCATTAGAGATAGATACATCCTCTGTTGGAATCTTGCAATATCATTAATTTTAAGGATTTCAATCTTTCAGTTTTTGTATTTTTAAATCGACGAATGCAGGTCTTTAAGGTTCTCATGTGCTAAGAGATTCCAGATTATTAAATCTTTTAATTTCTTCGACTTGTAAGTTTTCTTAGAGATTTTATATTTTTAGATCTCTGTATTTTTAGATCTTTGTGCTTTTGGAGCGTTAGATCTTTGAACTCTTAGCTTCTGAAGTTTCTGAAGCCCTTATATTTTTAGATTGTTAAGTTCCTGAGTACATAGATCTCCAATTTTGACATCCTTGAGCACTTAGCTCCGGCAAACACTTAAATCTCTCAATTCTCGCATTCACAAATCCTTCATATCTCCGACAACGAGCTCGATGTGGCAAGCTGCCCGAAATCGCTTCTTCCAAATCCTAATCGTAACTACCATCTGGCGTTTTATGGAACGCCTTGTACACATAATTCACCGGCGATTCGCGGTGCTCTCTTTTCCGTCCTAATGTCGTCGGGGGCAAGGAATCGGGTAAACGTCCAGGCAAAATGGCACGGTGAGTTCAGTCGAGGTACTCACTAAACTCGCTCGTTCGCTCGCTCGCTTTTACTCCTGGTGGGGTAAACCACGAAGCGGGATGGTCTCGAAAGCGACTCGAGGGTATTTTCATCGCGGCAGTGCAACATGTGCACCCAGTACTACCGGTGCACGCATTCGTCTCGATCACTCTCTACCAGCTCGCGTTACCAAATTTGTGGCGGGCAGCGGGTGCGTTCGACCTCCGGCAGATATGAGTCGCGTCAGTGATAGCTTTCGTGTAGTCTGTTGTTAACTTCTCGATCGATGATGATTAGTGACGATCTCAGTGCGATCGGCGCCTTATCGTTGGAGAACATCAGCGAAATGTAGGTAGTCGGATGACGACAATATTGTTACCCGCGAGATGGTAATATGGCGAACATTAAGGTGGCCGTGCGCGTGAGACCGGTATCTGTTAGGTGAGTATGATAGCACTTCTTGTCTTAATGAGATAATTTACCCTTTCATGAATATCTAAATCGCTCGCTAAATAACACGCAAGCGTTAAAATTTAGAGAGTAACTGTAATTTCTCTGATAAATGTTACCTTTATGTTGTCTGCTACATGAACTTCAGTTATTTTTACACAGTTATTTTATACATTATTTGTATATACATATTAGTTATTTTACACATAAATTTTTCTATACATTTATAATTTACTATGAATAATAGAATTAAAAACGCAAGATAAGATTCAGAATAGTAAATTTTAATTAAAAAAAATGTATCAGCTGACTTCTTAAAAATAAAAAAAAAATCAAGTGGAACAAAAGAGTAATAAGACAAGATAATTATCAACATAATCTCCAGCTGAAATATATTTTCAGCTGTGCGTGTCGTTAATGGGACTGAAAATAGTGAGGTTTGCTTTGTATTGGAGTTACGTTGAGTTTCTTTAGTTAACTAAATTGAAAAAATAGTGAGAAAATAAAATTACTTTCTATCCTATAAATAAATTAATTTCAAATAATGGTTTAACATATTGATAATGATAATGTTTAATTGGATTATTTCCTTGCAAACGCATTTGTATTTAAACAAAAAAAATGCAAATATGTACTTTTAAAATTATTAAAAATCAGCACAGCAGAAAAGATCGCGTATTCTCTTCTTTTATGCTTTTGCAAATTTCGAGGTACATCAATGTAGGTCAAGGCTTATAGCTTTCTTCATTATTCTTTTCTGCATGTGCACGTAACGTTGGCATGTAATGTTTTAGGTAATTCAGGAAGATGATGATTAGCCTACTGTTATTTCCAAGCATCAGCATTGGCGTGAATTGTTATAACAATAATGCATAGTAAACTACGAAGAAATTAAGTCGTTCGAACAATAACAGGAATACTAAAGTTAAGATTTTCCCAGTAAGTATCTAATATCTATGCTAGTGGGGGTCAAGGTTTATGTCTAGGCTGCACTTTGAAAAAATACTTACCTCAGTTTCTTTTAGACTTCACAGCTACGCTTATTCGGAATATTGTAAAAGAATATATATGTATATCCTTTCAGATTGTGGATAGATTAAGACATTCAGATGTTTCGTTCCTAGACTTTTCGATTTTATAATCTTAAGCCTTTTATTATTAAATCTTGAGAATATATGTTGTAGGTTCTCGGACTACTCCAGGCAATACTCTTATTGCTAGACCCTTGATTTTAAGACTTTTAAATTCGATCTTTCAGGAAATTTTTACACCTTCGAATTTGTACGCACTCGTGCGCGGCCTCACTCGGTGCAAACACTTATGAACTCGTTTCTATACTTAGACTACTAGGGTGGCGGCAAAAAGACGATCGCACGCGCTCGTCCGCGAGCAGTAGAAACGACCGAAGCGGAGTCACCGGAAGCGCAGACGAAAGCAATTGAGCGTCGAGAACTTGAGGACCTTCTACGAGGGTTTCCGTCGCGAGTTATTGCGCGTTTATTCGCGCTACAAACTGTAATTAAAGCGTGATTCATTGCGCCGGTGCACCCGGTCGCGGTGCATTAGCCGAATAATTTAGGAGCTTAATTGTAGATACTTTCTCTTTATGTCTCGAGATAATTGGGGGTTTGGTTGACTCTTTTTTTATAAAGCGTGTATGTCGTGTTCACACAAATCCTAAATTATCTCTTACAATTTTAATGAAGTCCAGTTTCTCGAAAAGTTGCCTTTGAATTTACTAAATCCATCCCTCCATACAAGTGCACGAATCGAGTGCAATCGGTACTTAAACCCCAACCGCGGATATGTCAAGGTACAGAATGAGGTCTCACGAAATTCGTTTGCAGCAGGAAATGAATGATTTCACGCGCCGAAGTTTATTACACGTGGCCGCATGCGAGGAGTGTTTAAATTTCGCTTGAGCTTTATTTATTTAGATATGTACAACTTGTTATTGCTAGATGCAGTATAATAAATTAAATTTTTCTTGCCTGTACAGTTCTTAAGAAAGAAAAGAGAAAATCTTTAAAATTATTTAACAAATATTTAAAAATTTCTTAAATTTTTAATTTTCTAAATTCTTAAATCATGAAATTCTTATATTCTTGAATCTTTCAATTTTTATATTACATGGAATTTGTATATTTTTTAGATATATTCCCTTTTTAATTAAAATTGAAGGCTTCAAGAGAAAATAAGAAATCAATTCATAATTAATAAGATAAAAAGATTTTAAATATGGGGCCGCGTTTAATTTTATGAGACGAAACCCCACAAATTATATATGCTCATGTCAATTATCTCACTCTCGCACCAAACGTTTCAATTTTCTTCGCGAATAAAGAGACGCATCGATATTCCTCTCGACTGCGCGTCGAGGTCGCTTAATGATTCCGAGAGCGGGTTCCACGCCGAAAATACTCTCATTGACTTTAGCGTGGGGTGCGACCGTATGGAAGATCGAGAGCGGGACTATGACTTTGTGACGGGGCGCAGGGCGACCTTACGTTGACAGCTGGCGCATCCGTTCCGTTTATAGTTGCCTTCGCTTGACAGGTATGCGTGTATCGTCTTAACGCGTTGGTATTGTTATTTTCGTACTACGGTGCCGTGAAACACGAGAGTCGTAGGGGATACGCATGTCTCGTTTAGCGCTCGCATTGGCCGACGCATATAATTGATATAATGATTCATGTAAAAAAACTTTATAGTTATATGTGATGGCAAACTTCAAAAGTGACCCGTAATTTATAAATCCATCGCGTATATAACAATGGTCTATACCTTCTAAAAAAGCGGTATATTATTGATATATTAATACAAGAAATATTTTCTCTTCCTTATATTTAATGCGCGAAGCAAGACGATGTATTTTTGCTCTTTTCAAAAGTCCAACAATCTAAAAATGAAAGATTTTAAGAGTTCGACACAATCTAAAAGATTAAAGGGTACAAAATAGCAAATACTAAATAAAAGAATAAAAAATTTAAGAACTCAAGAATTCAAAAAGCTAAAGATTTATAAATTCACATTTTTTTTGTTCCTATGATTTTATATAAATTGATTGTAAGGGAGAAAAGAAGAGTCGCTTGGAAAGAAAATCATCATAATTGAGGTTTAGTAAAAATAATACTTCTTATATCTACTCAGCCTGTCAACGGTCCCGTTGGAAGTAATCTGTTTCTAGCAAGCTTTTCTCAAGCGATTAAAGCGCGAAGACAAATAAACAGAGCTGAAATGAATCAACCACTTTGCCTTGCGCATAGTACCATAAATCTATAAAAATCTGTTGCGCGTATCTTAAAGAGTGTCGACTTTTAAATTGAATCTATAGCGTTATTTTTCACTGATTTTATAAAATTATTTCATAATATGTTTATTTTATATTTCGTCTTTATATTGCTGTTATACATTTAACATGAAAACTCCTGGTATTTTCGTGTATTTTCGGTATTTTCCACATATTTAATGATAAACGCATCAGCTGTCTGTTTCTCATCTCAATTTAATGTCACACAAAATGTACCATACTATCTTTAACATCAAATATGAAAAATACAAAAAATATATAAGGATGCATTCATGTTGCATAGACTCTTTTATAATCTCAAAATATGCCCTTTTTGGCATGTAGACTTTTTTGAAGCACGGATAAATTGTCATTTGTCTCTGTAACATATTAACAAGAGTTCCGATTTTATTTGTGGTTACAATGCAAAGCTCAGCACGAAATTGTACCGAAGCGTCCGATTAGGACGAGAACAAGTCTAACAAGGCCGACGAGATCACGCGAAATCCAGGGTTAAAGCACTGCAATGCTCTCCTGCGCGTATGCGCTACATGCACCGAGGATATCGCGCACATAATCACGCTTCTATCCTGTCGCGGCACGCAAAATATAGCGTCACACGACACTGATTAACCCGAAAACGCGATTGCCCATAATTTGCGATGTAAACCTCGATGCCCCCGAGACTTGTTGCATGTCTTTGGGTCGGAAGATATACTCTCCTCCCCCCTTTGGATCTATGAATCTTTTCTCACATACATATATTCGGATATCTACAGTCCTCAATTTTTATTTCTTTTATTAAAGTCCTCGATTGTTCCTTGAATCTTTCAGTGTTAATTTTATATTCCTTGAAAGTCACAAAAGTCGCCTTGAGCGGTTTTTTAACAACAGTAATAAATCTTTATTTTCTTAATAAGGCAGAACTATTGACATTACGTTATTACAAAAAAGAGACTCGAATTCTCGGACATATTTACTGTTAAATTGCTCATCAGCCTTTATCTGCACGTTGAATGTGAATTTATTAGTTTCGTATGCGGCTAAAAATACTTGTTGCAAACGAAGTGTTACGTGTCGCTGTTCTAAAATTAACAAAATATTGTAGCCTAAAGAAGATAATTTTTTATAAAGCAGTCGTAAACGCGACCGGTTGCGCGGAATGCTTTGAGAAAATCGGGCAAAGCCCTCTATAGAATAACAAGGGGAAATGCGCGCATACCCCCGTGTGAACGCACGGTCGCATGCATCACCGCTATACTGTCGCTGCCGCTACCGCTTTTCGATGAATCGATTCCGATCCACGAAGCATGAAAAAATGTGCTTGGCAAAAAATGATGAAATAAAAGAAGAAAAAGAGAATGGCGACGGGAGATGTAGACGAGAAAGGTGGAAAAACGACGCCGGCTTCGAAAATGTTGGTGAAGCTGCTTGCAGTGCTTGCATGCGTTTATTGACTTCTCCCTCGCAAATATTTGCGGCGATATATCACCCGTTATTCTTCGTTCGATCGTTAGATCGACCGACTTTGCGAAATCTTGAGAAAAATAAATTTTGATAACATTTTTAAAGCTCCAATATGATGTGTTTTTCAAGTTTTCTTGCAAGCTTTAATTTTTGAATTCTTAAATTTCGATATTTATATTGCCAGATTCTTAGATTTTTTTTATTATATTCTCCGAATTTGTTTAAGACGTAGTAAATTTTTAGACTATACATATGGATATGATATATTTTCGAATAAACGAATTACTAATATATATATGTGTATTCTTTATGTGCAGGGAATTAAATTTGACGGGGTCCGCATTGGTGGTTCGCGCGGAATCGAATGAGATCTCCTTGACGAATTTGAAGATATCGTCGAACAAAGTCGGAGACAGTCGCGAGAGGACTCGGAGATATGATTTTGATTACTGCTTCGATTCTTCGGATCCTGAAACGAAGAATTACGCCACTCAAGCGACAATCTACGAGACATTAGGACAGTCCATCCTGGATGCTATGTTCTCTGGATATAATTCTTGCCTGGTGGCTTACGGACAGAGCGCGTCGGGCAAAACCTACACCATGATGGGCACGAAGGTGTATAATTATGTCGTTGTTTTATTACAATTTTCAGCTGAATTATTCGGACTCGAATTACTGTTGGAATTTTATGAACGATACACCGCACATTTAATTTCAACATTTTTGTTTGCATAGACATAATACAAACTGCTCACGCAATGCATTAACATAATTTTAAACATTTTTATTAATTTTATACTTCAAATGCGCTTTATATATATAAATATATACATATATATACATATATAATAAATTTATTTGACGTAGATTCTCCATAATCGGACGTATGAATAATTGAGCGTTTTGAGCGTATAGCTTGTTTTGACTTTGTAATGAGACACGTTACGAAACACAAATATGTGCATTAAACGATAATTTATAAATATATATCATAAACTATTATGAAACATTATAGCGTATCTTAACGAAATGTTATTAATATCAATTTTTGTTTTAATGCCTAATGTGTTTAATTAAAATAACGGATTAAAAAATCCGATTATATTAAACAGTAGAAAAAAGAAAACTTCTCGATTGTCTTATTGTATTAAAAAAATTATCTACATTATCAAAATAAATTACATCAATATAAAATAAATTGGTTTCTAATATATTTAAGAAATTTGTATTAAAGTTTCAACCGTAGAGAGATGCCCTATTATATACGGAAAAAATTGCATTTGCGATTTCAAGCATGTTCTCATCGCCCGCTAAAATACATTTTGCATTTTATGTCTATTTTATCAATGTTATATTTTCGTGCAGCAGCATTGCAGAACTCTTTTGCCGTCCGAATAAATCGGCGATGATGTGTTTACGGGTCAACGTGCAATGTGCAAATTGTTTCGATTTATCTCGTAATAAATCTGATTGGCACTTTATTTTCATTTTTGCGGCGCATAATAGACCTCCTCCATACATCGTCGACCCACGTCCCGTTTTGTCGATATGCCGGCGGTATTATTTTCAAAAGCAAAGCGCGTACCGTACCTGCGCGAGTCGAGAATTATCTTTGATTTGTCTCGCGTTTTATTAATACATCGCAAAATGTTTTTTTTTTATTTTCCGCGCACAATGCGGCAGAGAGGGTGCATGCTATTTGCTTTTATTTCGGATAGCATTCTGTTGTCATCAGCGTTGTACTCGCTGACGTTTTCGCAATACCCGCGAAAATATCCGTACAAAACGCGTGCAATGCCGTAATCCAAAAGTTTCAGCTCGCAGATCTAACAATAAATTAATTTCGAGACACTTTGTCAATTTCTTAACGCGAAGATCGAATAGATAATTAATTTTCCTATCCCTTTGAGATTTCCTTCGATGATTCGCAATTTTCTCATTTGCATTTTGCAGTTCGCAAATCTGCAAAACAACGCGGAGTTTTTAATGAGGATGTGCTTGGTACATATAAAATATTGATAATAAAATACTAATGGCTTATTATTGACAAATATCTGTTGAATTAACAAGCTGTTAAATTGCTATATTTTCCACAATTTTGTTTTATTAAACATGCGCGAATTAAAACATTGTGCGTAGAGGACCATATAAAAATGCCAATATATATCATGCATGAAAATTGACAAATGTTAAAATAATATTTAACAAAAGTTAACTGTTTTATTGTTTGAATAAATTAAAAGTCTTCTGTATGTTTAATTTTTCATGTAATGGTTTATAATATATTTTGCATTTTTGTGAATATTTCGGTTAAATAATAATAAAAAAATAACATTTTTTCGATCTTTTCAAATTTGCTGATATCAGATATTTTCATATATTTTATTATAATATATTAGTTCAATATTTAAATAAAAATATTCTTCATACACAATTTTTATATTTACTTTAATATTATAATATTTATTATTTTAATTAATTGGTCGTTATAAACTTTTCTGACTTTCTCTTGATAATTATAACGTTTTTCACTATTTTTATTGTTCCAACATTAATTATTAGAACTTTAAATAATTAAAATGGTTATTTACTCCAAAATACCGTTCCCCATCTTCATTTTCCTAAACTCGGATCTCGTAATCGTCGTTTTATCTTCCAATATTAATTTCTTTTTAAAAACACCAAATGTCATAAAATAATTTGAATATCGACGAATTTTTACGTTTTGGAAAATAAAGATCCTTCATTTCATGTGCGCCCATACAATTATGATTATTACATTGATTTACTTTTACTCATTTAAAATCTCTCTTACCTATCATATTGACAAATGAAGTGATATCGGCGGGATAAATTTCCCGAGGAATATTTAGTTTCCATCAGCTCAAGCGCTCTCGTATAACAGTCTCGCGAAACTAGATGTTTTGCATTCTGCATAAACTGGCCGATGCTTATTTAGAGTTCAAATAGCATCGACCTGATTACCCGTTGCTTTCCTTTTCCCACTTCGTATCTTCTCCTCCCCCGCAGTCAATCCCATTCGTGAAATTATTATATCGCATCGCTCTAATTGGCCGACGAGGGAGAAAGAGAACTCGTTGCCGGATCGAATCGACGTTCCGTTTCTCGTCCCGAAAATTTCAAACAGTAAATTGAAACTGTTTTTGCGGAATGGCGCTTAATTAAATTGTATGGCGGCCTTCGCCGGCATATTCGCGCGCGCGGTCGGGAGATGCATCCGGGTGCGAGGGGGATGCATGGCGCAGGGGTGAAAAGGTGGATGGCGGAGAACGAGGGTGGGTGAGCAGACTTTTAAAAGCGCAGCACGTGTTGCGGCTGTACAGCGCACTCGTTTGTCGGGTTTCAATTATAAAAGGGACGCTTCGAGCGCTGGTTAATAATGCATCAAATTTCGAAATTGACAAGACTCCCCCTCGTTAAGATACCGCGCGCTGTTTCCGGTTTGAATAGACTTTATTGACCGGGGACTTTCATTCTTTCCACAGAACAAACTCTCTCTCTCTCTCTCTTTTTTTGCTTATTTTCCTCTATTTTCAGAAACATTTCAGCTATTTTGTATTTACAAAAACGCATACTGCACAGAACTTAATTCAGATAAACTGGCTAATCTAGAATTAATATTTTAAATAATTTTTTTTTATTTATTTTAGGTTTTATCATATCTCTTCTATTGTCCTCAGATAACGTTTCGATAATCATAAAAGTTATAATTAAATAGCATCAGATATTTAAATCTAACGTTTGATATATTTGTACGATAATTTTGTCATTATATATAATCCTTTTTATTTTTCCAGGAGGATCCAGGACTAATCCCACGGCTCTGCGAAGGAATCTTCTCAAAAATCGAGCAGGAGAGCGAGCACGAGAGGATCTATCGCGTGACAGTTAGGTAAATGCATCATCCGACAAAAACTTTTTAAACTGTCCCGAAAATAAACACGCATACCAAGTTCTTTAACCATGATTTTGAAAGTAAATTCTCCCTTTGACACCTCTTGTGCCGTTCACGTTCGCGCGCAAAAAAACGGAATGTAACCGCATGGCGACTTAATTTAATGCCCGCAGATTGTTGTACTTTATGTTACTTTAACAAACGTCTCAAAAATTAAAATACATCCTCGACTATTTTAATAAAAATAAATTACGTAGCGTTAGATAATATCATATTTCTTCATTATTATCATGAAAGTTGTAATAATCCTCAATATCCTGATACTGCGGCTAACGCGATAAGAACGTCGACGAAAATTGCAAACCCTCCTCGATACTATCGACAGGAAACTTTCCGATCACCACTTAAGATGCTAGAAGTACTCCGATACTTTGTACTAAGTACTCAGGAAGATACTTGCAAATCGCGTTGCACGTGCCTTATTTCCTCTCGCCACCGGAATTTCGCCGCACCTTACTACAGGCTCGATAAAATCTGCTTACATTCTTTTATTTTCTTTGCCACCGGTCGGCTATACGGCGTTTCCAGATTTTCCTGAATATATTAATCCTTTTCCAACAATCCTTTTTTATGAACTTCTTTATATTTTTCAATTCAGCAAATTTCAACGCAAAATTATAAATTGCATATAATATATAAAATCTGCATCTTTTTATATAAAGAATAAAACACTTTAACAATATCATCGACTTTCGAAAAAACAGAGGAAAAATTTAAAAAAATTAATTCCTTATGTATCAAATCACGACTTTTAATCCTGTATTAATATTGACTTATATTAAAAAGAATATGTGTAAAATCGATTCAAGTATATTGTTCTCTTTGGTCGAATATTTAATTATGCGTAAACGTTCATATATTAATGATCGGAAAAGAATATCTAATATTTTACATATACATATATTAATATATGATATAATTGATAAAAACTGTAGTATAATGTTGTTGGCGATTAACATTCATGTAAGACACAATATTGTCGCTGTTAGTACATTTTGCAGAATGGTGTTTCAATTTAATCACGCTGCAAGTCGAACAGATAGCCTTCGGAACACCGATAACCGTGTCCGCCTTGATAACTGTGGGAAAATCAACACCCTCACGTGGTGCCCTTTGCTCGCAAACACCACGCGAATACACGTACGCGAAATGTGGATACAGGATGATCGAAAAGTCACGAAACTGAATTATATACGTGGTACCGTACATGCGGCAGTTATTCACAAAAATGTATTTAAAAAACCACTATTAACTGTTATTACGGATATTTCGTCGCATGGCAAATCAAATGTAATTTAGTTATCTCGTTTTTTACTAGCACTGCATTGTAAAAAAAAAAAAATTGTAGTTTACAGTTGTGCACGAAACTACATATAAATAATTGTTATGTTTTTATTTTGTATATTACAGTGCTTTTTACAGAACGTGTAAAGATTATTCACGCTGTCTCTCATAAAACACTAGCAGGATTAAAATATGTTGCGATATTTAACAACCGCGACAACCATGACAATGGAATATTTGATAGTGCGTGATATGACATGTGCAATATTAAAATAATGCTAAAATCACCGTGACAACTGTAGGTTGCATATAACTTTTCGATCATTCCGTTGACTATCAAATACTTTGGCGTCGGGCAAAAACATTGATGGCTTTCGGTCAAGGCCCGTCAATCGGCGTGGTTTTATCTGTTACTATCGATAGCTTCAAGTTCGTTCCTTTCGTGTCAGCGATTACGACGTCGTTTCGCGTCTAATCACCCACCGCGAATTACAAGCTTCTGCCCCGTATTACGCGCCAGCACCAGCGAAAACCCTCCCGCAAGTGTAATAATGACAAATTGATACCGCATCGAAACGCTGTGTGAATTGCAAGAGTCGTTTCGCCGATCTATCGTCGTCGGCATGCGGATTTACTATTTATTCCGTTTTAATCGCTTTTGCATCGTTGTTCCATATGTATCGAAATAGTTCCAACTCGCGGGAACAAATCGCTCGCGATAATTGCCAATCGACAAAAAATCCGCCGAGACGCACCGTGCAGAGTTCGTGACGCGAATAAATGGATAGTCCGACTTCGCGTATATTTTTGGCAGTAGTTAAACGCGACGCTACATGAAATCGGGGATTAGTTCGGGAAAAGCTGTAACTTGCGTTGGCATAAATTCAATTCCGGAATCATTGATCGCACATCGTTGTGAACACATCGAAAAGACAAACTTTACGATAAGTTGTAGCACGAAGCTTTAATTTGAGTTTTCCAGGTGCATGCTCGTTGAATTCAATGAGTAGAACGCTGCAGAATTAGGAAAGAGTTTAAAATTGAGCAAATCTCAGTATTTCAAATTCAAGCATCGGAAAATCTTAAAATTCAGAGAACTCAGAGATCCGAGGTGTTCTAAATATTTTCTAAATGTTTAAAAGATCTATCTTTAAGTTCCTGCATTATATAATTTTAAAGTGTAATATCTAAAAATAGAGACGTAAACAGCGTGCTAGAGAGTCCAATCATTTATAGTTTCTGTAACTAACAATCGCAACCTTATAATAAACTTGTTTCACGATGACTCAAGAAAATTTAGAAAGGAAAATACTATGAGTTAAGTGCAGGGTTGCGGTGGGCGGTGGAAGGGAGAGACGATAGTCGTAGAGTCGAATTTGCGAGTCGCGAGGCTTGCAAGCGTCGGTCTGTTGGCCTGGATGTGTCTTGCAAGCTCAGTGCCCCGTGACTCGCAATCCCAGACGGACGCAATCTCGCTGTAGCTCGGTAAGAATGCACCTTGAACGTCGAATGCACTGTCGAATTTCTTGCGTTTTTCTGCAATGTTTCATTTTGACCGTGATTGATAAACATGACAAACATAGCTTCTTGGATCCTTCACCTTCCGACGCGTTCTTATAACATGATAGACACTTGGATACTGCGCGGTCCTCGGATCCCAAAAACTCTCACATTGAATTGAATCCATGAATCGGCAGAATTTTTACATTTTTGAATCTTTAAATTATTAAATTTCTAAATTTTTAAGTTTTTGTACTTTAGAATTGTTAGAAGAGTATATATTTTAAAATACTAAAAAATTATAAAGTCTTAATTCACATTCCAAGATTTTTATATTTTAAAAAGTATTGACATATTTTTTAGAGTATTTAAGGCTGTGGTCCACTTAACACTGCAAATGCTTCGAAGCATTTCTCTTCTCCTTTCTTTCAGGGAAGAAAGAAGGAGAAGAAGGACGCTTCAAAGCATTTGTAGCATCAAATGGACTACAGCCTAAAAGTTACTTAATTTCAGAACCTCTAACTTCTTGAACCTTTCTCAATCGCATTTATGTCGCTTCGTTTTTTATTTCGCGCGACTCGCGGAATGAAGGGATAGTAGCCCGCGAGGCATAATTGCGGTTGCTTCGGTATCTTTCTTTCTTTTTTTAATCTATAATGTACAAAATTGTTCTTTCATCTCATATTTCATAAAGCAGGAAGTTTCTCGCCTATATTATAGATATTAAGTGCAATATAAGCATTTTGTGTGTAATAATAATGTTCATAATAATTTTATGATTCGATATGCAAATTATCGAATACTTATGAAAATAAATAATAGAACATTATGGCATAGCGATACTTTTCGAAATCACATAAAAAATAAATCGTTTCATTATTATTGCCATTATTACTCGTGTACAATTTCACAAATAAATTTGAACGGGTTCTCGCTCACGTTCAATTAATATCTCTCTTTCCCTCGACAATTAAGCGAAGCATTTTATTGTGCGTATCAACGATCGGTTAGCGGGATAAAGTGTAAATGATAAACGCTCGGTAACGAATATAATTGAAAAAATATTTAAAAGTATTCTCTTTTCTATTTTAATCTTCCTACTTGATGAAATAGTAATAATTCTCTCAAAGTAGATTTTCTACATATGAAGGGGTAAAAAACACATTTTTAAAATATTCGACTTACACCACTGTAGTTTTTACCCCTCCATATAGTGCTGAATAAATACGTATAATAGCATGTATAATAATAGATATAGTAAATAATATAAAAGCGTATGATAGTATATAGTAGAGTCTGCATATGTTGCAGGCAATAACGAATCACGCTAGGGAAAAATTCATAACGATTACCTGTTAAAAGAAAGGCATCTTTTCGGCATCGATTACACATAGACTGATATTGGTTCAGTGTGAAAAAGCGAAATCAGTCGCGCGTTCCGCGTTTTGAGGCCGATAGAATCGGCCCATCAGGGGCCGGACGTAAAATCGTTAAGTGGGTCGAGCAAGAAAGTTCGTCCGAGGCATTTCTACTTGCCGCCGTCGACTGTTTAGGGATGAATTAAATTCAGCGGGGCGGGCGACGGGAGATAGACACGTTGCAAAAACTTTGGCGCTCGCGTTTCCTATTGAGCAAAATGCTTTTCACTTATAGGCAATGATCGGATCAGAATGTTGTTCTTGAAAAATAAAGGAAACGTTTTTAAATAACTTTTCAACGTGTCATCGCATTGTCGCAAAAATAAATTGTCCACCACACTGCGTGTATCCCGAGTAAGAATTACGCGTGCTAGTCTAAACGCGGAACTTGTCGAAACTTATATATGCATATAAATTTTGTAGACATTTATTCGATAGGAAAGTTGGCGTAAAAATATTCCTCGTGAATCCTCATATTGTTTCTTGCTACAACGTTGTATCGCGACGATCAAAAATGCTGGCCCCGATATTTCATCGGAATTAATCGTTGCGATAATGGACTGTTCGACACGCGTCGTGTGTAAAATGCGCGGCGCCTCGTAATTGCGATCGATATATCCGGCCGTGCTTGTGAAAAATCGGGGACGCGGCGAGTTTCCGACTTGAAAAAGAGCCGGAAGTCATCATGAAATATCGCGTCGCGGATTAAATGTGTGTTAACAGCAACACGGCGCT